GTCGGCGACTCAGTCAAGTCTTTGAATTCTTCCAGCAGCTTGGCAATTGTTGGATCTGTGGAACTATCCTTTTCCTGGGCCTCAGTGACAGGTCTGACATATACTACAAAGACCTGATCTTCTAACTGCTCCTTCTTTACTAATCGCGCGAACGCGGGAGCACTGAGACAACAATGTGCCAAGGTGTTATCTACACCAGACACATGAAACAAGCGAGCAGTCTTAACCTCGCCTGGCGGACTAGGGAGTCTACACTCATGCTCTCTCAAATGAAGTGTAGCCCCTGCTGCCTCTCCCCAATCCATTCCTAACACTATATCGGAAGGAAGGTCATCCTGCACGAGGAGAGTCAGGAAATGAAGAATTTTCTCCACCTTCTCATCCTTCTCTAGTCGAAAATATGCCCGGACTCCCTCTACATAGTCCTCAATGCGCATCGTGTGGTTGTCTGCGAGGACACTGAGTATGGGGTCTACTAGCTTCTGGACCTTTAGTCCTAGCCTCAGCTTCTTCAGCGCCCTACGGCTAATGTAACTACGGGTAGCCCCTGAGTCTATAAGGGCCCCTACTTTACTCCTGAACACCTCTACGTCTACCAAAATCAGTTGTCCCTTACTCTCCCTTTTCATTTTGGCCCAGACTGACATCCTCTCCTTTAACTCTTCTGCCACACATGTAAGGGACGTGCCTAAAGAGACGCTAACACAAACAGTCTCTGGACAGCTATCTAGGCACGGGCCTGCAACCTCTGCCATAGGCTCATGTGGGTTGGGAGTGTCCTGTTAGCGCGTGCTCACTTCTCCACATAGCCTGGAAGTAGGGGCAGTTGCGACCCCTACTGGCGGCTGCCTTTTGGCTGCTGAGCAGCCCAACGGGCCTGTCTATACTTTGGACAAAATTTGATAACGTGGGCCGGGTCACCACAAAATACGCACTGACCCCGGTCCACGCGTTCCTGCCCTACGCGCTGGTCCAAGCCCAAATCTTCCCAGGGCCTGCCCTGTGGCAAGCCAGGGTGCCAACCCCCTTGAGGTGCCCTTCCACCTCCTCGCTGTGGGGACCGGTTACCCTGGCGATTTAACGGGGGACCTTGACCCCTACCTCCCGCTTGGCGATTTCCCTGTCCGCCACCCCCCTGTGCGCCCGGTCCTCGGCCTCCCATGGCCTGGCCCCTTTGGCCCTGGCCTCCTCCTCTACCTTGCGGCCTCCCTTCGGTCGCGACAGCAGCGTAAGACCTCCCTTGCCCCACATTACTGCCATCATCTTCAAGGCCCCACTCAATCTGGTCATATGGGACCTCATCGGTACCACCTTCTTCTAATGTCAGGATCATGTGATCCTTGGCCATTACTTGGCCTGAGATGGTACGATTCTTCCACTTCTTCCCCTTCTCTAAGTCCTTATGCCAGAAAGTGGTCACTGGCATAGACTTCGACTCATACAGGACGACTTCCGTACTCAATGCATCGTAAGTCATGCCGGGCTGCTGAGATTTGTCAAAGAAATGCCCGCGTAGGGCCTCCGGAATGGCACAATAAAACAACTGGACCAGCTGGGGCACAGTGACTCCGTGGTCCGGGACGGCTACCAAGTCGTCCATAGTACCCTTGAGTGCCTTAGCACTCCTCCACTGCCGAGAGTGGATCGTTTGGAGCTTATCAGAGGCTCTAATGCCTCGCGTTGGGTCAGCGAACCGCTCCTTGAGGAGCTTGAGGAATTGGGAAAGAGGAGTGACTTTGGAATACGCAACCAGGTTGTTTTCACAACCGGCTGTACGCGCGAGAGACCTGGCGAAGTTAGCCGCTTCGTCCTTCAGGGCCTGGAAGGCCACGAGGACTTGCTCCTCCATCAGGCTATGTTGTAAATAAATGTAACTATTGACACTGGCCTCCCAGTTGTCAAAGTTCTCGTCCTTCTTTCCCCCGTACGCGTCTAAGAACTTAAGTTTCACTGGGTCCTTACGGGGTTTGCCCTCTCCTTCTACAACGGCTGCAGCTTTGGCACCCTTAATGGCGCCCTCACAAAACTTCCCTACATTGTCCCTCAACTGTTTGACTTCGCCCCCAATGTGGGTGACGATTTCGCGCGCAAAATCCCTAAACCCGGACCGCATGACACTCAATGCTACATCCTGGCTCAAGCTTGCCTGGCGCTCCTCCATCCAGGCCTTGCTCAACACCTCTAAATAGCCCAGTACTTTGTCCCACTTGGCCTTATCATCTGGCTAGGCCAGCACCTCCGCTCTACACTCCTGCACCTTTG